CGAGAAGCAACTGCGGGTCGGCAAGTGCAGCGGCGCGTTCATGAAGGCCCTCCTCGGCCGCGTCACCTGGGCGGCGCTGCCGCGTCGCGAGGCGCTCTGCCTGGTCCAGGCGGCCGACGCCTTCGCTGCCAAGGCCGGGTCGCGGCCCATCATGCCGTGGCAGAGCGTGAGGCGGGAGCCCTGGCAGGCGCGCTGCCTGCTGCCGCTGCTGCAGGCGGACTTGCTGGCGCCCAGGCACTCCCAGGTCGTCGCCTCCGACGCGTCGGAGTTCGGGCTCGGGTTGGTGCGTCGGCGGCTGCCTCCAGAGCGGGTCGCCGAGATAGGGCGCCAGTCAGAGCGCTGGCGATGTCGCGTGGAGAGCGGCGCTCGCGCTCGTGAAAGAGCCCTCGGACCTGCCGTCGTCTCATCGCCTCCTCTCCCCAGCTCTCTGCAGCCCGTGGAGTTCCCGAGCGTCTCGGATTCCTGCTTCGACGAGGTCCCGAAGGATATCTTGGTGGAGTCGTCTTGGGCTGGAGTCGCGGCGGTGGAGATCTCTGAGGACATGGGCGTCGTGGGTCTCGAGGGGGATGCGCTAGTTCATGGGGCTCGTCATCTTCTGCGGAGTCCGGAGGCTTTTGGGGGGCGCTTGGTGACTCTGGTTGACAATTTACCGTTGGCCCTTGCGGCCACCAAAGGGCGGGCCCGGTCTCGTCATCTTCGAGGGCCTCTGCGTAAGTTGGCGGCCCTCAGCTTGGCCTCGGGCTCGCGTGTCTACGCGCGCTGGATTGCATCAGAGTTGAACCCGCCCGATCCGTTCTCACGTGGGCTCCGGGGCTGGTTCTCCGGCGGCCGTTTGCCGCGGGCCGTGCCCGCCGCGGGCGCTGTGGCCGCCTCCGCCCACGGGCGGCTGCCCGCCGCGCCTGATGCCGCGCCGCCAGGGCTCGCGGCCGAGAGGCGGGCCGCGCGCGGGGACGCGCGCCGGCCTGGCCCGCGATCTGGCGGCCGCCCGTCAGCCGTTTGCTGGCTTCGCGCCGCTGGGGCAGCTGGCGATCAAGGAGTCGACCGAGGCGCTCTACCGTGGCCTGTGCCGAAAGTCCACGGGCTACTGCGCCCTCCACCAGGCCTCGTGGAGCTCGATTTTGGAGCTGGACCTGGCGGTGCTGGGCTTCCTGAACTCGGAGTTCCAGGCGGGCGCCGCGGCGGCCGAGGGCAGCCAGCTGCTGGCCGCCCTGTCCCACTTCCCGCCGGATGTGCGGCGGGCCGGGGGGCGGGCCTCGTGCAGAGCTGGGGGGCGGCCATCGCCTGGAAGTGCAGGGTGCCGAGCTTCATGAGGTGCCCCTTGCCGCGGTCGGCCGCTTTCGCGACCGCTGGGGTCGCCCTGGCGCTGAAGCGGGAGCGGATGGCTCTGTGGATTGTGATTTCTTTCGTGTGTTACCTTCGTCCCTTCGAATGCTTCAAGTTGAAGGGTCGGCACCTTGTGGGCCCCGCGGCCACGGCTGGTCCTGCATGCCAGGCCTCGGGTCTTCTTCTTCACGAGGTTGCAAACGCCCTTCCTGGCAAGACAGGTCTCTTCGAGGAGTCAGAGCTGATGGATCTGGATGTGTTCCTTGAACCCCTCCTGGGGGCGCTGAAGCTGGCGGCCAGGCCAGAAGAGGTGCTGTGGCCGTTCAGCCCCGCGGCGCTCAGGGCGGCCTTCGCGCGGGCGGTGACGCTGCTGGGCCTGGGGAGCTTGAGGCCTTACCTCTATTCGCTGCGCCGCGGCGGGGCGTCGGGCGACTTGCTGGCCAATCGTCGCTCAGTCGAGCAGGTGGGGCGCCGCGGAAGGTGGAAGGCTGTCTCATCAATGGCCAGGTACGCCAAGGAGTCGAAGCTGCTGCGGGAGATCAGCCGCGAGCCGCTCGCCAGCTCCAGATTCGGCGAGGGGGTGGAGCGCAACTTCCAGCTGATCGTGGAGCGCGGCTTCATCCAGTCGGGCGTGATCGACCAGGTGCCCGACCAGCTACGGTTGCAGGTCAGGCGGTTGGCCGAGGCGGGGCGCGCTGGGCCTCCGAGTTTCGGCTCCCAGAGCTCCGCTCCAGCGGCCCGCAAGCGGCCCGCGGGCGCCGCAGCGGGCGCCCGCCGGGCGGTTCGCCGCCGCTGAGCCGCGCCGCCGCTGGCGTTGTGCGGCGCCTCCGGCAGGTGTTCCAGGCTGCGCTGCGCGGCGCGACTCGCCGCCGCCGCTGCATCTCTCTGGAGCTGTTCGCGGGCTCTGCTGACGTGGGGCGGCAGCCGCGCCGGGCTGGCTGCGCCGTCGTGTCGCTCGACATTCAGATGGGGGCTCACGGTAATCTACTTGTGAAGGCTGTCGAGAAGCTGCTGCGAGGGTGGCTCTCCTCGGGCGCGGTGCTTGGCGTGTGGCTTGGCACTCCGCGCGCGACCTGGTCGCAGGCATTGAGGCAGCCGCTGCGCTCCACGGATGTTCCGATGGGTCTCGATTCGCTCTCGCCTTCGCAGCTCGTTCGATTGAAAGTTGGCAATGGTATATTCTATGTATCTTGTCGTTTCATTGATTGCTGTCGCAAGGTAGGTGTTCCTGTGTTGTTCGAGAATCCCGATTGATCTTTGATGTGAGAGGCTCCGCGCATGGTTAACCTGATGCGTGCTCGCGATTATCCGAGGCCCGTTAGCATCGACGTCAGTTTGTAACCGCTTGGAAGAAAGCCGTTCCAATCGTGTCCTGGCGAGGTGGCTGCCGTTCTCGCCTTCGGCGTTCGTGCCTTCCGACGGCAATCGATGCTCCAAGACAGGCCGAGCCCATTAGGAGCTCTCCGGGCACGCGCCTGGAGGACGGCGCTGGACTGGTATCGCTGCCGCTTTTCCTCGCCAGCTGTGCCGCGCCATCGCTTCCTCCATGATTGATGTTTCTGAATCGTTGCGAGTGTCTGTTTTGTGGAGAAGATTTAATCCATGAGTTGTTTCGTGTTCAGGTTGTTTTTCGGCCTGCTGCCAGATTTGTCCATTCGGGTCTGGGAAGCTCCGAGTTGCGTCTGGGCGCGAATTCTTCTCCGCTCGGCTGGAAATGATGTGCCTTGCTCCAGACACGATTAAAGAGTGGAGCGGGCGATCTTGGGATCTGCGGGCTAAATCTCTGGCCGCTTTTAACAAGCATAAGTGATGTGCAGAGCGGTTCGATGATCGCCGCATCGACGTTGCCCGTCGACGCACTTGCTCGAGTCTCCCTCCCTCCCTGTCCCCCGCTTTCGCCTTCTTGCTCCCCTCGCGTCGCTCGCCTGCATTATTTTGGCAGCGTTCTCTTAGAATGCCTTGTCACGTGCCGCTGCTTCGGGAAGCTCCGAGTTGCGTGTGGGCGCGGATTTCTTTTCCGCTCGGCTGGAAATGATGTGCCTTGCTCCAGACACGGTAAAAAGTGGAACTGGCGATCTTTGGATCTGCGGGCTAAATCTTTTTGAAATTCATCGGAGGAGATGTTTGCAAGACCTCGGTGGGCGGGAGATCTGGGAATGGGAGCGACGGACCCCCACGATAGAACACGAATCCCCAATGATGGGGATGGTTATCATGATGGTCGCATGCTGCGTGTGGAAGCATCGCGCATGAGGGTGACATGATTGTTATTATTGTTACTGTTGTTGTTGGTGTTGGTGTTGTTGCAATCATTTCTGAAGAATAATTATTGTTGATCCCCCCGTCCGGTGCACATCGTTTTTTCGATTGAGGTGCCCTTTCCGGGGCTCGCACCCGCTTTTTTATGAGGGAAAGTCTTGAGGGTCAAACAGTCAAACAGTTTTGTTGGCCCCCGGTGTACAACAACAACAACGGCTCCCGTTTGATATTTCCTCGCAGTGTATTGAAGAATCGCGCTCTCGCTTGGGACTTCCTTGCAATTTACCACTGGATCGCGGCTCCGGCTGGATACTTCCTTGCAATGTATTGAAGAATCGCGCTCTCGCTTGGGACTTCCTCCCAACTTACCACCGATCGTGGTTTCCGCTGGATATTTCCCCACAGTGTATTCAGAGGCCGCTCCTCGATATTCAGGAATCGCGCCCCCGCCACATATTGCCTGGCGGTTCCTGCAGAATTTACCCTTCAACGACCCGCCCGTTCGACCCGCCCGTCTGGGCCTGCCCGCCCGACCAGCCCGTTAGGGACTGCAGTCGCCGCTCGCTGCCCTTCGCCCGTCTTCGATGCACCTCGCTGCCCGTGCTAGTTCCGCTGTCGCCTTCGCTCGCTGCCCTTCGTGGCCCCGTTGCTGCCCTCAGTGGCCCCGTCGCTGCTCATTGTGGGCCCGCATTGCATGCCCTTCGTGGCCCCCGCTCGCAGTCGCCCGTCGTGGCCCCATACGCATGCCCTCCGTAGCCCCGCTGTCGCCCTTCGTGGCCCTTTTGCTGCCCTCAGTGGTCCCCGTTGTCGCCCTTTGTGGCCCCATATACGAATGCCCTTCGTGGCCCCCGTTCGTTCGCGCCCATCGTGGCCCCGTGTGCATGCCTTTCGTGGCCCTGCTGTCGCCCTGCGTGGCCCCCTCTATGTCCTTCGTGGCCGCGTTTCTGCCCTCAGCGGCCCCGTCGCTGCCCTCTGTGGCGTCGGATTAATTGCCCTTTGTGGCCCCCGCTCGCTCGCGCCCTTCGTGGTCCCATACGCATGCGTTTCGTCGCCCCGCCGTCGCCATTCGCGGCCCCCTCGCTGCCCTTCGTGGCCCACTTTCTGCGCTCAGTGGCCCCGCTGTCGCCTTTTCTGGCCCCATATATGCATGCCCTGCGTGGCCCCCGCTCGTTCGCGCCCGTCGTGGCCCCATATGTATGCCCTTCGTGGCCCCGCTGTCGCTCTTCGCGGCCCCCTTTCTCGCCCTTCGACGAAGGCGACGACGACGACGACGACGACGACGACGACGACGACGACGACGACGGCGGCGGCGGCGGCGACGACGACGACGACGACGACGACGACGACGACGACGACGACGGACGCGGCGGTGGCGTTGGCGGCTGCGGCGGCGGTGGCGGCGCCTGCGCGGCCCCCAGCAAGACACGGGCACCAAGATTGATGTGGACTTCGACACGGACCCCTGCAAGTGCTTCCTCAAAGGCGACTGTGCTGCTGCTGCGTCTTCACTTGCTCCTCAGGAAGAGGGCCAGGCCGATTTTGTTGCACTGGTTGAGCCTCCTGGGATGCCCCCCGTGGCTCGGGATCGACGCAACTCGAAAATCCAGTCAGCGTTCAGTGCAGTACGCCCATCAAGTGAGAAACTGGCCTGTCAGAAGGTGCATGAAGGAAAGGGGGTTCGGGAGTTTGTTTCATCGCTTTTGGCTTCTCACGGCTTTCTCTGGGGCCCAGGACCGTCACGACACAACCTGGAATGAAAAGCGGGTCCTTGGGGGAAGCCCCCGTGTCCAGGATCCATTATTTCAGCACCCTTGTTGTTCCGTGCCGAGAACGTCTTATCACCCATTAATTCTGGGGACTCGCAAAGCCTTGGGGCACTTCAGGAAGTTCAAGAACCGACGGTAAACACGTACCGATCTTTCAGACAGAAATGTTTCTCATCGTACCGAAGACGCCTACGGCGAACCATCACCCCTTGCATTTTGGAAGCGCTTGTGTGGCCAAACAAACGTTTGGCCGAAGTCTTGCCAACATATTAGGCCATGTGCTCCCCCAGCTGTTGTGGAAACCCTTGGAGGCAACACTTAATAGGAAGAAAGAGGACGAGGAAAGGGAACAGAAGAAAGAAGACGAAGAAAAGGAGGCCTCTTGCAGAACCCTTTGGGCCCACTGGGGTACTTGGGGCTTCTGGGGTGTTTGCGGGAGCGTATGGTTTCTTCTTAAGGGCCTCGTGGGGGCCTCTTAGGTGCCTTTTTGGCTCCGGAAGCCGTCTTTGGGGCCTCACTTTGCCGTCTTGAGGCGCTTTGGGGCTGTCTTGGAGGTCTCTGGGGCCGTCTCGGCGCCCTCATAGGGCCATCTTGGGGCATTCTTGGCCTGTTTTGGGGGCTTCTTGGCCCGTTTTGGGGCCGCCCTCAAACAGGGGAAGGTTTCTGCTTTCGATGTTTGATGCCTTCCGATGGGAGTTCGAAAGCATCTGAGGGGTGAACTCCGCAGCCACCGTGGCTCGAACCAGCATTTTTCTGCTCGAGCGAACGCCTGTTTTTCCGAGCGAACCTCGGCGGCGCCTGCGCCTCGGACCCGGAGTGAAAGTGGACGCGGCAGCGACAATGGCGGTAGTGGGTTTCTTTCTCAGCTTAGCTGCCTCGATACGGCCGTTTTGAGACGCAACGCGTGCCGTGCTTAAAACGTCCGTGTCTAAACGTTGCGTATTGGCTCAGCGTATTGGCCCACGTTTCGGCGAACGTATCGCGTCAGACCTACGTGTTCGGTCTACGTCTTGAGCTCCGTATTAATATGCTACGTGTCGCGTGTTGCGTACCGGGGCAGTTAAGCCTGCCAGCGCAGAGAACTGCATGATCCTGCCGAGTTTCTCCAGGAACGCAGCGCAGCTGTCACGGAATCCGATCTCCGTGAGGGCGCCCGACGCATCAGCGAATATTCTCCGATGTAAGTTCCGCGAGGAGACGCAAGAGGGTTCGAGTGGATTCGCAGGGGTTGTCAGAGGCCTAACAGAAAATTGCTTAAACCTGAGCTGACATCAGCACGTGGTTCAGGATGTTTCAGGCGAAACCAATGTGCTTGTATTCGGTTCGTGAGGGGATGCAATGGGAATTTGGCGGAAACCGTGCAGACCTGAGGAAGCCAAAAGAAAACCGCCAGAAATCGATCCGGAGGTCCCAAGCGAAAAGTGAATGTTTCATATATTCTGGGGTCAACTGGAGGCTTTCCAGAGAGGCCTTCGCTTTCGAGGATCGAGAGAGTTGTCGTCTCTCCCTTGGCGGAAGGCGGCGGAAGAGCGACTGAGGCCCACGGAAGTGAAACGAGGTTGCCACCGCCAGCGGACGCCAGCGGGAGGCCGGCTGAAACCGGCGGAAGTAAACAATTCCCAAGAGGCGGCAGCATTTTTGGTTTCACGGTTTCGGGAATCGGCCGTCCGTTCATACGCGTACATTGAAAGGCGGGGCGCCTACCGCCCTTCTCAGGAGCCTGCTGCTGCCCGCTGGCCAGGACCATGCGGAGGCGCAGAACTTGAAGGGGTGATCTGCTCGATGGCATAAAACATCGAAAGCTGACGTTTCCCTTGTCTGTTGGGGGCGTCTGGGGACGTCTTGGGGATATGTTGGAAGCTTGTTGGGTCTTTTGAGGATGTCGGAAGCCCGGGTTGGCGCGGGAACGCCAAAGTCATCGAAACGCGATAGGAAACCTTGATTGAAGCTTTCCTGAAGGCCTCCTGAAGGCTCTCTTGGCACGACTTGCAGCGTATCTTGAGACCATCCTTGGCCCGCCTGGGCATCTTGCGCCGTCTTGAGACCATCCTTGGCCCGCCTGGGCATCTTGGGGCCTTGAGCTCTCTTAGGGCCACCCCTGGACGTGTTCGAGGTGTCTGAAGACCCTCTTGGAGACCATCTTGGCCACCTTGGAGCAGGCACCTTGGAGCCATCTTGGCAGTTTTGCGAGGATTTCTCCAGCAAGACGCCTGTTTTGGGCCCGCGGGCGGGCGGCTGGCGGGGCGAGCAGGAGGCCGCTGGGAAGGTTTGGAAGGACCACAGCCGTGAAACATTACGAAGGCTTTACAGCCAGTGTCGCCGATCCTGATGGGGGACACAACGACGACGACGAAAAACATTTTTGGAAGGACCGAAACAGCCAAACATCTGGCACGCCTGTAACCCCTCTTGCAGGCAACAGGGGGCGGCGGACTTATCGAAGTTGCTTACGGCGAATCACCGCCGCCCCCTGCTTTTTGGAAGCGCCGATGTGGCCGGACGTTTTGGCCCCAGCTTTGCCTCGGACTATGTATTCCTCCACCAGTTGTGGAAACTCTGTTGAGAAACGATGAGGGGGAGCATCAGGGGAGGCGGAGGATGATGAGGAGGAGGACCAGTGTAAAACCAAGACGCACCGACCACTTTGCAATAAACCCTCCATCCGCATTCCCTTGCCATAGGTCCATACAAGGGTTCATTTTCACTGCGGGAAATACCCCGTTGGAAGACAACCGTTTTCAAATCCCCAACCGTATCAAAACACAATTCCTGGGACTTCAACGCCGCGAATCAACGTTACTGTTGCGTCCTGACGATCGTGAGTTGTGCCAGAAAACCATCCCTCGGACTGCAACACCGCGAGCCAACGTGACCGTCGCGCCTTGACAATCCTAAACCGTGCCAGAAGACCGTGCCTGGGTCGTCAGCCACAAGAATCCTCAAACTTATTGTGAACTTCAAGACGGATGTGCGGCACGCTGGGGCGAGAGCCACATTTTGAAAAGAAACCGCCGTCCATCCGTGCAAATGTTGCAAGCTGTCGAGACGGATGTGTGTGGAGCTACAGCGACAGCCACATTTTGAAAAGGAACCTCCGCCTATCCGTGAAGCTTTTGTACACTGTTTGGACGAATGTGTGCGGCGCTACGGCGATAGCCACATTTTGAAAACGACCCGCCCTCCATCTGCGAAGTGGTTGCAAACTTTTGAGACGAATGTGCGCGGCGCTAAGGCGAAAATTGTTGTCGCTTCGCGAATCCCCACCAGCCCATCCAGAAACGATGCCCAGAGGAATTGCCTCGATCAGAGAAGTGGGCAGCACACAGAGGAAGCCATTATGAGACATCTTGGGATATCTTGAGCCATCTTGGAGGTCATTTTGGGCTCTCCCAGACGCTCTTGGAGTCATCTTAATCCGTGCCCCCCCCCAAGAGGCCTCCATGTGGCTAAAACCTGTGTAGAATCAATGATTAGGCATTCTCGCCGAGGCCTCTTGGAGCATCTTGGGTGCATCTGGGGGGGCTCTTGGGGCCTCTTGGGGGTCTCTTGGGGGCCTCCGGGGGGCCTCTTGGGGGCCTCTTGGGGCCATTTTGGGGCCATCTTGGGACCTCTTGGGGCTTCCTGGGCGCTTCTTGGGGCCATCTTGGAGGAGATCGATCAAACAAGAGGGGGGGTTTAATTAGCGTCCCCCCTCGGAAGCCCCTAAAATCGCCTCTTGGACCCCTCTTGGAACGCTCTTGGAGTGCTCTTGGGCGCTCTTGGGGCCGTCTTGGGGCTCTTTTGGGGCTCTCTTGGGGCCCTCTTGGGCCATCTTGGAACCATCTCCAGGCCTCGGATGGCCATCGGAAGCGAAAAGGCGAGAAAGCAAAAATCATTGATTTTCCTTAGGTTTTGGGACGATTTTGGCCTCTTCGGGGCCTCCTTGGGGAGCTGTTTGGCCACTTGGAGTTATCTTGGGGCCGTCTTTGGGCTTCTTGGAACCATCTTAGGAGCCATCTCGAGCGATCTTGCGCTATCTTGAGCCATCTTGGAGCTCATCTTGGGTTCTCTGAGGCGCTCTTGGAGCCGTCTTGGGCCATCTGGGACGCTCTAACTACCCGCGGCCCCCCCCGTCCAGGTCCAGGGGAGGGGGTAGGGGGAGGGGTAAACCCCTCCCCAAGGGGGAAGAGGGAGGGGTGGAAGAGGATCTGCTCTAGACCACCTACGCCCAGAGGGCTGGTGGGATTACATTCTGAGAACGACCTGCCATCCATGTGTAAAACTGCTGACAACCTTGATGAATGTGCGCGGCTTTAAGGCTAGAGGCACATTTTGAAAAGGACCCGCCCTCCATCCGTAAAGCTGTTGCGAATCCCACCAGCCCTCTGGGCGTAGGTGGTCTAGAGCAGATCCTCTTCCACCCCTCCCTCTTCCCCCTTGGGGAGGGGTTTACCCCTCCCCCTACCCCCTCCCCTGGACCTGGACGGGGGGGGCCGCGGGTAGTTAGAGCGTCCCAGATGGCCCAAGACGGCTCCAAGAGCGCCTCAGAGAACCCAAGATGAGCTCCAAGATGGCTCAAGATAGCGCAAGATCGCTCGAGATGGCTCCTAAGATGGTTCCAAGAAGCCCAAAGACGGCCCCAAGATAACTCCAAGTGGCCAAACAGCTCCCCAAGGAGGCCCCGAAGAGGCCAAAATCGTCCCAAAACCTAAGGAAAATCAATGATTTTTGCTTTCT